ATAATCATGAAATATTTGGTCTAGTAATCAAATAATCACACACACAAAAAAACAGCCAAGTAATCACATAATCAAAAACGCCACGAGGAGGCTCATTAAAGATGACATATTTTGGTATTAATTTTCATGTGTTGAAGACATTATCTTTCAATCGGTTTAATTGAGGTCTAGAGCTAGCATGTCAGTTACTGCTAGTAATCCTTGGTTAAGTTATGAATCATTGTCATTTTGCTTAGTTTCTTTTGTTACCTATTCTGACATCGGACTCGGACTTCTTTTAAACTGAGTTTTACTGTGCGTATTGCTGTGTGTTTGTTTACTCTACATTGGCTAGCTATAGTGGTATAGGGGGAGGGTTGAGATCTCACAAAACATGTTTAACCCCGCCGCACTTTTGCGCCTGTCCCAAGTCAGGAGCCCCTGGCCTTTGTTAGTCTTGAAAGTTTTTTTTTTATTTTTAGTTTAGTGTGACGTCCATTTTTACTGAACTAGTATGTAATAGTTATACACCGAGGGATAGGTGTGTCTGGATAGGAAACCCCGTCGGCCGGAGGCCGGAGGGGTTTCTTATCCAGACACGCCGTATCCCGAGGTGTATAACTTACTTACACTCCATTCTAAACCCTATATTTGTTAACATTGATTATTAAATGAAAAAAAAAACGATAGCATATTTATTGACAATATCAAACCATGATTTATAAGAATATTTTTTGTATTACATGAAACCCCACTAGTAACCTTTCTTTGGTTATCTTCGTTCAAACTTTGACAAGTGAGTATATTTTACAAATGTCAAGTTGTTTTGCATATTCCCGTTAAATCCATGTGCTAATATGGATCCGCAGGTCAAGGTTGACTGTTTCGTGTATTCTTATTACAAACAAAAAATACATCATGCACCTGGTATACAGTTGTCAATATGGACGGGTATAAGACGGACGACATTTTGTGGCAAGCGTTGGATTTGGTAGAAGCGACTAAAGATAAAGGCAATATTATAACCCAAAGTACTTACCTGTATCAGTTTAATAAACAGATAAAGGTAATCATAACTGTATTTTATATCTTACGATTTTATCAAAATCAAAAGCCCCCCCCCTCTTCTCGAGAATAAACAAACATTCATATTCGAACATACTAAGGGATAGATAGGTGTGTCTGCATTAGAAACCCGACTACCAGACACGCTCAACATACAATATTTAATATTGCGGAACTCCCTTTTTTTGGGGCAATCAGGGGCTGATCCAACCGGGGGTTCCAAACTCAAGAGAAAAAGGGGGTTCCAACCATTCAAATTCATTGATCTTTTAAATAAAAGTCGAGTCCAACCCGCGGAACCCTAACCCCGGATCGGCCACTGGGTAACCGGGGGGGGGGGGGGGGGGTCCGGGAGTTAGAATCCCATTTTTTTTAAAGATCAATGCTTTAAAATAGAGACATATGACTGGGATAAAAAAAATTACCTTCAAGCAAAAGAGTATTTAAAGGATTATTTTTGTATTCAATATAATTGCTTATTGGAATTTCCTAAAATGTGTTTGTTTAATATCATGAAACAATTTGTAGTGAACACTATTAGTAATTCCTTATGTTCATGCTATTTAAAAAATAATCAATTTCTATTGTTACGAATAACAATGGACTTTGTTTGCGGGATGTAGAAGCAGGGGTTTCCAGAAACCCCGCTCGTCACACCCTGTGGTCAAAATCCATTGTTATTCGTAACAATAGATCTATTCAATTTACACTTGTTTCAGAAATAGAAACTATGAAGTATAACAATAGGACTGGGGTGTAAACATTTTTATTTAGGGGCCAGCTGAAGCCCGCCTCTGATTGCGGGATTTTCCCGTTGTGTTGAAGAACCATTGGTGGCCTTCGGCTGTTTTCTGCTCTTTGGTTGGGTTGTTGTCTCTTTGACACATTCTTCATTTCCATTCTCAGTCTTAATTTCACCAATGAAACTTTACATTATTTTTTGCCTTTGTATTAAATTAATTTGTAAACTTCTTGGAACTCTACAATGACCGTCTGATTACAATTAGACACGGAAGTATTTGAAATATGAAATCTTATTTGGCCTTAAATGCCTCAACCTTTTTTAATGTGGGTATCTACTTTGTTCAGTAAGATTTAGATTTTGACAATTATCTTGCAATCTACCATAGATTTTCGGTAATTGATCTGCATAAAACCCCATGGGAAAGCACATTGGCATAATTTGCTAAACGTTTATTGGAACCCAATAATTTGGCAAGGTGATGCAACCTGTAATGTGAAGACGTGAATGAAAATGCGGAGTTTGTAAGACCAGGCTCAAGCAAGCAGCCACTCGCTAGCAGCCACTTCGCTAGCAGCCTGTTTTCAAATATTTATATAAACCCAAATGTTGCATAAGATTCAAACGTTCTTCAGATGTTTTATTAATAGATAACCACTATATCATCAGTTTTTAATATAGAATTAAGCAGTCAAAGACATTATTCAATGAATTTTAAAATTTCATTTCTTGTTCATTAATTATATAAATGCAATAGAAATCGCTCTCAATATATCACACAGCGTGCTGCACGCTTTACATTTTAAAAAGTCGGATATGTTATACCATTTTTCTCTATTCTTTAATTAGTGTTTTAGGCCATTTATCTCTATTCTTTATTTCGTTTTACCTTTTGCCGATTATTTTGTTCTATTCATATTTAAACACCTCATTATTCTATTTTTGTATGTCTTGGTTCATTGTCTCTTTTATTTATATTTTTGCCCACTATTCTCTGTTCCGTAAACCCCCCATCCACACCCTCCAGTTAAGGTCACCAAAGAGCTTTCACAAATAAGCAAAACTAATACCGAATATGCTCCGAATGGCAAAATGATTGAATGCTAATCCCGGTTTGAATTGTGAAATTGCGCAAATTAGTTTTTCAATCAATTGATCAAGCAAAACACATTATCGTCCTGAATGTTTGTACAATACTGGCAGATGGACCTTGGTCATCAATTCTAATCATCTTAGATCAACCTTTCTAAACTTAAAAATAAAGATCACGCACCCTTATTGTTCAGATTGATAAAGACTTTTGCATCCGTCGACATTAACTTCGATTTAAATACTATAGATCTGAAAAACGCTGTGCATGTATACTTTAACGACTGGGCTAGTTTTCTTATCAGTTTTAAAAGTAGTAACCTCCCGTTGTAATATATCTATCTATTTGTACCATCTTTATACAATATTATATTGTACAATTTAAATCTATGATTCGTTTAATATTTAAATAAAATATTTTTTTTTTTAATAAAGATATAAACAAGGTAATTTGAAAGGCTTTGATTCATTTATCAACGTAGTTCAATTCAGAAGTCAGGCGGTCTATTTTGTCTACATCATGTTGAAAGAACACCGGGGTGTTTACATTGGCATTTTTTACTATCAATGACTGTGAAACAAGAAAGGAAAACATTGTACATAATAAAACGAGAAATAATTAAAATTACATAAAAAAATCATCATTAGTGAAATCAAAAACGAAAAACGGAAACACTTTTGATTTTCATTTTAGTTTTAGAGAAATCAAAAACAAAAAATGAAAACACTTTCGTTTTCCGTTTTGGTTTAAGAGAAATCAAAAACGAAAAACGAGAACACTTTTGTTTTTCGTTTTGGTTTTTGAGAAATCATAAACGAAAAATGAAAACACTCTCGTTTTTTGTTTTTTTGTATTTGATATTTCAAAATGAAAAACGAATGGACGCAAATATACACGGACCTTGCTGATCTTTTAAATAAATAAGCCATATTTTTATATAGTGCTCACATGAAGCGGTGGTACACCATCCCATTGTTTTTTCAGTCGTTCCGTTGGTTTAAAGTCTGACGATAGACTTCCCCCTTTTTTTATTCACCTTGAAGTACGATATTTTTTATACCCTAGATCTTTCATACTGAGGATTTTTTGGAAAGACTTTTTTTAAAACGACGATTGTTTGAAATATATAAGCCATTATTTTATATAGTGCACACATGGAGCGATGAATGCATTGTACTTTTTGATTTGGAGCGATGGAAATCCGTTCCATTGTGTTGGTTGAAAAGTCTAACGATGGACTTCCCCCTTTTTTAATTCAACTTGGAGTTCGATATTTTTTGTACTCTAAATCTTTTATAATGAGGATTGTTTGGAAAGGGCGATTGTTTGAAATATATTCAGGGTAAAATCGCTCAATTTCTTTATCTTCAAACTATTTAGCATAGCTTTAGATAAAGAAAAGATAACAGGTTTTAATAACAATATCAGGAATATATGTTTAAAATTGTACAGTACATGTAGTAAACAACTTCAGTAATAGGTTGAGGAAACTGAATAGACTCCAAATGTTCCATACTTGTATGATGGCTTATCTTAATTATTGTCCATTGTCTTGACATTCTTTTACAGAATTAAAATACGAAGAATGTGTAAAATAAAGTACAGTAAATAAACAATTCAATTTGTATTTTGTGATTATGAGACATCATACGATATTCTGTTTTATCACATTTGATTTTTAAAGTGGCTTTTCTTGAATGGTTATGTTTGTATTCGTAACGTTTCTGTGGGATTTGTGTGTGCTACCTTGCATTTTATACATTGCTTTGCATGCTTTATTAAATTATGCCTTTAAAATTTGTTATATGAACGTTGCGTGTTTTGGATATGCTATGTACTATTTATATTACCCTACATGCTTTAAAAATATTTTAGTTTATCTATTTTGTATGTTATTTTTAGTGTTTTATGTGCTTATATGATGTGTTTATTTGTGTGGCATCCTTTGTACATGTTTGATTGATTACATTAATGTCTACTGTCGTTTCAAAAGCCCAAAGCGTGCTTTTGTTCTATTGTTACCTATCTCACCGTTTGTCAATACATATTATTTGATTTTATTTGATAGCCTCTCATATACATTAATTATATGTTTTAAACTCTAACTGCGAAACAAAGAATTACCTTATAAAACGGTATGTGTGTCTGAAACTTGAAGAACTTGATCCAGTGCGACAGCGAGGTGTTGGTTTCGGTGTGTATGTCAACCAATCGTTATTAGTTTTATACAGACTTGTCCTGAAGAAAAATATAAGAATGATATAAGTATCCATACTATATAGCTCTTTTTTTTACACATGCATAAATTTTATTTCTAATAGAGTGCATGAAAAGCTTAAATAAAAATATATTGACATGCACAGTACGTATCTCACGAGATTTCGTAATATACACGTACATTTTAAAATTTATTTAGTTAAAATTAAAACATTATTTTCTATAACTTGTGTGATAGCATTTGAATCAACGGTTTCGCACGTGCTATAAAATCATACACTGTCCGATCAATGTTGTGAACACAATGTTCTAACCTTATACAACGTGCGTTTTTAAATATTTGGCTGTGAGTCTTCCTGGTGAAGGTAAATACAGAAAAGCACTTCGAACACAGGAAATTTATAAAGTGTTGTTTTCAATGTATTTTCCAGCAAACTTTTAATTTGAAATACTAATACTTAAAAATGTTCCCCAACACTGCTTGTCTCTTTAAAATGCTCCGCTGACCTACACGTCTATAAAAAGTTTCAATACCTACATGTAATCGTTTGCAAGACAAACTCTATCCCCATGAATTATCTTTATTAATATGTTTTTAAACTGCAAAAAGCATGAAAAGCCAAAACAGTTATTCTCTTTTAGAATGGTTGTTTAATACATTCTTATAATATTGATATGATTTACATGGTTCGGTAAAATGTATCGAATATGTATAAAAAAGTTGTGTCTATGGCAAGCCGTTTTACTATTTATTCTGACTTCAAGATATCTTTTAAACTTTATAAGATACCTCATATAGTTTATAAGAAATGTTATATAGTTTATAAGATATCTTATAAAGTTTATAAGATATCCTATTAAGTTTATAAGATATCTTATAAACTTTATAAGATATCTTATATAGTTTATGAGATATCTTATATAGTTAATAAGATATCTCATATAATTTATAAGATATCTCATATAATTTTCTTTATAAGATATCTTATATAAAAATATTTATAAAATATCTTAAAAACTTTATAAGATATCTTATATACTTTAGAAGATATCTTATAAAGTATATAAGATATCTTATATATTATATGAGATACCTTATATATTATATGAGATATCCGATATGTTATATGAGATATCTTGAAGTTACAATAAAAGTTAGTAAAACGGCTTGCCATATGTGTCAAATGTTAAGACATTTCGCATTTATGGTGTAACTTAATTACTTCACCTACCAATAACTAATAAAACTGCATCCAAGTTTACTTTGTGTTTCATTAAGACAATACCAATTTCCATCTACTTGGCAGCACTCTTTATCCTCCGCACAATAATAATACGTAAAATGTTGTTGGTCACACAAATTCCAAGCTGAAATTGGAAATCGTGTAGTAAATTGTTAAGATTGTGCTCATATTCGAACACGAAAAAAACAAAATGCTACATATAAATAACAGTACGTATAAAAATGAAGGTAGTATACTGTTCCCCTGAATTGGTCGAGTCTAAATATATTCAACACAAATGATAGTTAAACAGTACTCAGACTGATATAGACAAAAAACAGTTACCTAATTGCATTGAAAACGGACCTATTAAATAGCATTACATCATTTAATTATTTATTTATTATAATTCTTTATCATTTAGATAGGACCATAAGATAGTTTTATGAAATTAAGGAGTAAATTTATATTTTTGAATTCCAAATTTTCAATAGAACGATTTTCTATTTTATAAATGAGGAAATCGAAAACCCTATACAGACCTCATTTACAACTGACAAATGAATGTTATGCACCAAAACTTCTTGTTATATATATTTGATGTTTTTAATCTGTCAGTAATCATGAAATAGATTCGTAAAGACACCAAATGAAAACAGTAAGTAAATTCTTCCAACAATAAGCTATTTAAACAGCATGTGTCACAACTTCTAATCGAACAGACCTAGATGCATAAGGTCCTTCACAATATTCAGGTAAATTTTCATTTTGGGTTTGATTCTATAATTTTCCTGATGCAAATGCAAAATAATTAGTGTTGTCTGTTCAGTCCAATTAATTAATAAATCGTATTTTTAGGTTTGATTTTGCGGTACGGGCCTTGTTCATTGTTGAAGGACGTACGGTGACCTATAGTTGTTAATTTCTGTGACATTTAGTCTTTTGTGGAGTGTTGTCTCAGTAGCAAAAAATACCAGGCTCGATCAAAACGTGTATAGATGGAATATTTTCGCAAGGTTGATAATCATTCTTAAATTGAAATACAATATATCATATGAAAACAAACACTTTTAATATTTTAGTCGTCCGTCATTCCCTTTTCACATCTAAATGTAGCATAAATAAACAACTCGAAAACAGCCTTTTACCGTTCTAAGTTTTATAAACGCCTGACAAAACCTTATATCATAAATCGCAATTAAATCGTAGATAAGAACAATAGTAAAAACATTAAAAAAGTATAGGTGTTTAGTTATGTAGTAAATTGCAAAACCATAAAAAAAGTTTGCACTATCATTGAGTAATTTAAATGGAAATTTTACATAATAACAGGCGGAAACCCAGTTGAAACAGAACAAAAGAATCGAAGCTCTTTGTTAGAGGAGGCGATAAATGCTTACTGTAATGTTTACTATAGTAACAAAAATTTTAAAAGTTAATAGAAACAAATAAAATGACAGTTTTCGGCTAAATTACGAAGTACAAAAATGTATTTTATCATAAAAACACCATTTGCATAAGTTTTCAATTTATCTATTACATAATTAAGCAGAACAAATAGATATCAAGTCGACGATATGGGTGTCTATTCAGTCGGATCTAAAAAAAATGCATAACCTCTGATTTAAAAAAAAATAAATACCAAGGACGGAGAACATATCAATCTATTTGTTCCTTAATTTTCGTTTCTGCCCTTCCATTATGTGACTCAAGAAATAATTCCAAAAAATGGGTAAGAATTGCATCGAAAAGAGAAAATCGAGTGCACCTTTTTATGTTAGGGCGTGTTTGAGTTGAATATTTTGTCTTGAAAACGTAAAAAGCAAAAGTTTTTGATATATCATCTCGCTTCAGATTCTATCATTTTTATATATCAAGGGTACAGGTTGACTTTATAACATCGGAAATTCACAGTACTAAAAAAATGAAATATATGGGTCAAGTGAAATACCTTTCTAATGCATCACAGAAACAGAATAGGTGTGTTCGAATAGCAAATTATTACTAAAAATACTTGACGACAGACTTTTAAGTTGGATCTTAAAAATGCATATCTTCGAAAAAACTTTATTTTTTGTGTGTGATATCTAGTGTTTATAGTCTTCAACCACTGAACATTTTTAGTCTGCCCTTCCACGAAATATTGAATTAGAATTTTATTAAAGGTTTATGAATTTTTGAAAATTCCACCTGACAACCGATCAGACAATAGTTTTAAGTCGACTGAATGTAGACTAGTACATTAACTGATGCTCAATAGCTAGTAGATACATTTGTCTTTTAAAATACAGCTGGCATATAAGGATCGTAATGGTGCTATGTGGATAAATTTATCGGTTTTCAAGAGCTAAATTGGCAGCGCGTCATCCCTACAATGGCTTCCATTTTTACGATTGTAAAAATGAACTGGCGTAATGGGGAGATAATTTTGACAAAGTAGAGTCCTGACTGATAACATTTTACAAGATCTTGTCTTCGTGTACTATGTACATTGAATAATTTATGGAGTTGGTTGATTTTTGTTTGCTTTACCTCCAGTGGCAAATATTTCATGCATGTTCATGACGAGAACACATGAATTTTAAATACAATAGGTAGATCTTGCAATAGGATGTAGACATTGAGGTAGGACGTGAAAATTGGAATATCACTGGAAACTGAGAATATATTGAATAAAGACAGAAATTAGCCTTGCAACACCTGGCCACATCCGAACCCCTTGAATATTTGGTGCAAAAATAGTGAATATGCAAAGAGCGTTGATCCATGAAATATATTCAGAAGTCGGCCATCCATATCTACGTGTAGTTTCTAAAATAATTTAACATTTCTAATTTTGGTTTGATACTTTTAGCACCACTTTTTTAACTATATGAAATTTTTGTGAAACTGTATTTTATTTATCTCTGCACATCAGTTTTTGGTATGATATTCTGTACTATCGCTCTCCTTTTTTGTTTTGTGTGTATGTTCTCCTCGAGATCGGGAGGTCGTGGTTCGAGTCTCGACTGGGTCTAACAAAGACGTAAAATGGTACATGTATTTGCTGTTTCAACTTTAAACTAGCGGTAGCACAGACTTGTCGGTTCGGAGCCAGAAATGTTTCCGGGTAGGGTGACTATTCTTCCTGCGATATGAAATCTTCATGTGAACTTACGCGTAAAAAAACTGACTCAGCGTGTCGATCTAGTACAAAGCAGGGTTAATATTCATGTTATATTTACATGTAATTGTCCTGAATATTCATTTATTATTCCATATTGATAGAATTTTAGTAGAGTTTTCTATATGAATTGGATTTTGAATAAAAAAGCATATTCACCTGCTGAAAAGGTATATTCACCGAGGAAAACGCCGCGTGCTTTTACGTGTATAATAACGGTAAAATGTTTGACGTACAATTGGTTTTGATAAATAACTGTTATTGAATACATATTTTTCTCTTTCAGAACATTGAATAAAACAATTACTGTCTTTTGTTTCGGTAAATATGTGGTTTAATTGACTTTTGAAAAACCTAGTGACATTCACTTCGGCCGTTGGCCTCAGTGAATATTATTTTTTCAAAAGTCAATAAAACAACATATTTACCTCATCAAAAGACAGTAATTGTATAATATTCCACTTGACGTCATTCATGATCATCATTTATTTTACCGTTATTCTAAACAGTGAAGTGTTTTTCTTCTACTGGTTTATATTACATCTCCTTTAATTTCCACCGATCGAAATTAAAAAAAAAAAAAAAAAATGGCAGGTGATGTTTTTCAACCAAACACTTGTGCTTGTGAGGATATCTTTAACGGTAAATAATATTAAATCAAATGTCCCTGTTGTGATAGATATTGTTAAATTAACTCCGTAATTTTTAGTCATGGGACAGTTTTGAGCTTATTCTGTATACGCATCTTTCTATAACAAAAGACTAAGTTGACTCTTAGTATTTTGATTTCTCTGTGTCGTAGGATAGCTGCCACATTAAAGTATACCTTTATCTCATTTCATTCAAATCCAAAGGCTTGACTTGGGTATAGAAATATTGACATCTCTGGATCTCTCCAGGTCGACAGTATACCCTTGCTAAAGGGGTGTGTCAGTTTGGTTGTTCGGCTGCTTCTATTATAACTATTATACCAGATATAAAAAAAATCTTGAAACAGCAAATGTTGTCCCTTAGACCCCGTTCACACCAGGGCATTTAGATCGATTTAAAATAGATCGGTTCACTTTAGTGACTGCCGTCGTTGTACGCTTATGATTTATTGCCATTCAATGCAGATTTTTTTTCTGTTCTTCTCCCCTCCTCCTAGTATGGTTGGATAGGATATAATGTAACCCCTAATGTGGACTACGTTATTTTATGTTCAAAAAGATTAAATGCAAAGAAAAAAATAAGGGAAAAAAATGCTGAAATTAACGCTTGATAATCAAATTTAAATATATTGGTAAACTGCTTGAGATAACTATCAACTGAAGACTAATGATTGTACATTACTTAATGATGCTGGTTAATAAATTGCTCCCTTGAAGTCCAGTGGCAAATATTTCATGCATATTAACGACGAGATGTAAAGTGGATCAAACTCAAGCAATTCATAACAATTTTAGAGCATCACTTTAATAAGATGGAGCGTTGACTAGAGGTAAAACGTATGCCGTAATAGAATAAATTGAACCACGATCAAAATCGTAAGTTAAGTTATGAGTCCCACCCCCCGCCCCTTTTTTTTCTCCGGTAGACAAATGCCAAAAAAGAAACGATATGAATTCACAATCAATAACGGCCACTGTAAGTAAATGAGATATGGACTTATTTTGAAAATAAATTCCTTTTGCAACCTGCATTTCCCGGTTTCGGACATGTTTGTATTTCCACTCAAATACCGTTTGAATATTGATCAGAGATATCAAATCAACCAAAAGCACTTTGATTCTCTGAAAGTGTACATAATGGTATTTCATTTTTTTACGGAGGTCGTGATATTGGACCCCCCGATTTTAAGAGGGCGTGTCTTATTAGTCATGCCCGATTGACTTTTAGTAAAAAAAAACCTGCAACTTAAAGACCTACACCGGGTTAATAAGTTCGAATACAATAAGTAAACAAAAGAGATCTTTTGTGTAGTGAGATCGTCCCAGGTATCTTAGATAATTATTTTGCTTTGAATAACAATGAAAAATGCACGAACAGGTTTGTAAGCAACATTTAAGTAGTTGTAGCACCAGGAGGGTCAATCTGAGCGAACATCTATAAATGTGTGCGGACGTACAATATTGAATTATCAACTTTTATAAAACGAGTGAATGAAATTAATTCCAAAGGTTCGCTAAGGAGTATATATATTGTTGCTCTTCTGCATTTAACTGTAAAAAATTGCGCGAAAATATAAAATCCATTGTTTTCCTAAGTATCAAACAGTTAGAATTAATTTAAAACATTCCAGATGCATATTTATCCCAAAATACTACTGATAATTAAATCAGAAATCTTGTTGGTATTAATCAGTCTATTTGCTATTCCCTGTTTAATTCCTCCCATTCGTAGACAAGCATGGAATACGCTGCAATAAGTTTCTGCTCAAAAAACCAAACCAAACTTAGCACTAAACATGCTAAAGGAAAAATCAAACTTTGAGGGATAATATCTTTGAAGAAAATGCTCAAAAAGATTTAATAGCATTCCTGTTTTAAAGGATGTTGAGTTGATTAAATACGAATACTAGGAAATTATGTTAAAACTTTGCGGGGGAAATGTTAGCTTCTGTTCATATGTAATCAGTTATGCCAGCAGATTCACAACTTCGTCCACTGTGTTCGTTGTTTGCATTTTGAACTTGAACATGTGCAAATAACTGGTACAATTGTGACTTTCAATTTTGACCACTTCCTCAAAATTTGCGCACAGTGAATTAAGCTGTTTGAATTAAGCATAACTGTAGTTCTTTTGAATACACACGTGATTGAAGATTAAGAAAACCTAAAGAAAGATAATAAATATAAGAAGATGTGGTATGAGTGCCAATGAGACAACTCCCCATCCAAGTCACAATTTGTAAAAGTAAACCAGTATTGGTCAAAGTACTGCCTTCAAAACGGATCCTTGGCTCACACCGAACAGCAAGATATAAAGAGCCCCAAAAATGACTAGTGTAAAACCATTCAAACAGGAAAACCAACGGTCTAATCTATATAAAAAACGAGAACCACATCAACAAACGACAACCACTGAACATCAGGTTCCTGACTTAGGACAGGTGCAAACAAATGCAGCGGGTTTAAACGTTTTAATAGGCGCAAACTTTCACCCTACCTGAAACAAAAGTGTAACATCACAACATAGAAAGCCACACTATAAAATATCAATTGAAATGGCTTAACTCAATCAAAAGACATATCAACAAAAACCAAGTGAACATACACTGAACAAATAAATTTGATCTATGGCACAATGTAAATACAAAATTAATAAAACAAGGGGGTTAGATGTAAAACAATATCAGAAAGACAACCATAACCGTGGACAAAATGCCGCCAAATAAAATAACGTACACAGGTAAATAAAAATAATTTTGTTGTAAGGTATACATGGAGTACGGAAATAATTTTTACAAAACAAATAATTTTGTTGTTCCTAGTACGAGAACAAAAGTGAAAATGTATCGTCATACTGAACATTTATCAAAGGTGGTATATATTAAAAATAGTGAGACTAGATATAACACTGAATAAGTAAACAATAAATAACAAAAATACATTACAAATTGTATCAACAGGTCAAATTAACACGAAAGTACGATTTGAGATTACTCGCATTTACTGAAAGCTATTTAAAAGCCAAAAACAATTGATAATAAAAAATTATGCATCAGAGATTAAAATGAACTAAAACACATCCAAGGATTTAGTGTTTTAACGTCATGGACAGTAAAAGAAAACATGACTTGTGCAATGCCAAAATAAAAGTATCGACATGCAGGAGGATAGTTAGGAGTTAACCTGTTAATAAATATGTATAATGTAATATATAGATAGAGTAATCTCTATATAGAAATTGAACGTGGATGTGTATTTATACATCCCAAAAAATCTAGATTCTGTTTTATTTTATATTCACTCATAAGTTGTGTTGCTAAAGTAGTAGTATATTACCGTGGCGATACAAGGGTTCATTAAACAATTCTTTGTAATGCATCTAGAAACATTAATAAATAATTATTTTTGTTTTATTTGGTTAACAAAGTATACGTTTAGTCTCACTAACCATATGCTGGATAAATCAAACTACAGAAAGAAAGAAGCGCAATTAATGACACTAAACTGCCCTACATAGGCCCCAACAACTGTGATATGATATAAGGAAGTTATTGTGTTAGAAATTCCCACTTTACACTTTAGTTGGGGCAGTCCATGTTGTCTTTATTTTCTTAATATAGTAGCAAAGTCACTGTGATGTTTTATAATTTCATTTAAAGCAAAAAACGCATTTAGGGATTTAAAATAACTTCGGTAATGTTTGTGCTAGTTCAATAAACCAGTATTTTGTAAATCTAATAATGAGATCGTTCATGTAAATTTCCATTCAAAGTTACACTGGAAAATCCAAGATCTGCATGAAGAAACACCAATGTTTTTTTTAAATTGTTCGCGTGGCTTTAATTTATTCAATAATTGAAAAAAACAATATTCTTCTTTTATGTGTACATACAATGCTTTTTTAAAACTACCTTATTTTGTGTCGCATAAATATGAATGACTTCACAAATGTGGAAATCTTTTCACATTTGACCGAAATACAATTATTATATTCTATCATCATGTTATGTTGCTTTACAATGCATTTTTGTTAAGTGAAGGACATCTATAGTTCTTCAAAGTTTCCAAAGCATATAATTGAAATAAATTGAAAAAAAAAATAATTATAAAAAAAACTTCATTCATGAGTTTACTTACTATGTGCTTTCTTTCTATCTGAATGAATGGCGATGTTTTCAAATTATTGACCTCGACCTTCGCCACTTGATGTCTTAATAATTATATGGCGGTCGGTTCATGCATAACAGGCAATGCTTTTTATGTCGTCGCACCTATCCTGTCCCGTGATTTTGTACCTTTACTCTTTTATTTTTGTTTTCTAAATAAAAAATTGCGAGTACGGTATTCACAAATTGTCACTCTTTACAATTGTTATTAATTCGACCTTATAGATGACATAGGTTTTTTGCATGAATGCATTGCTGAATTTGTTTCCTGATACTAAGAATTTATTATTCAACCTATTAAATAGATGGCCAATAGGGAAATGTACTTATGTTTCAGTAAAATCAAATGCAATTTAAACATGGTCAAACTGTAAAAAAAAAATAAGAATAACATCGTCCAAAAGGTTATAAAATAGCAGTACAGTTATTCTGCTAACCAGCCTATACATACCTACACCGGGTATTTACTTACATGAGCAACACGATGGGTGCCACATTTGGTGCAGGATCTGCTAACCATTCCAGAGCACCTGCGATTACCCCCGGTGTTTGGTCCTTCATAATACGTTATACATGGATTGAATTTTTAAAATCCAGTGGCAAACATTACTCGCTTACTAACAAGAGCAATGTTAACGTAATATTATAATGAATATTGCTTTTTAAAGACAACACCTTGTTGGCCTTTTTTAATAGTAAGCCAGATATTAAGCGTACTAAATATAGTTTACACGTTCACAAACAAATCTCTATCCCAACCGGACATATCCTTGTGCTTGGAACATTGAGCCGACCAGTATTTCCTCTTACAAACTGCATTCCGCTGCATAGCGTAAACAGAAAAATCAATATTGAATATAGCAATATTACAAGTCCTAACGTATCAACTGAAAAAGGTTGAGCCAATTTCCCTTGTATGTGTTTCCATCACCTATTAACAATTTAAAGTTGTCAAATTTTACTGGAATTTGAATATTTAAGTCTATATCATATACTTGAAACACTTTTCAACAGTTTGTAAAATGTATAATTTTGTAAGAACCACAATATACTCACATGAAGCTATGATGCTGTGATTAACCAGGCAGAAACCCAGTTGAAATTAAACAAAAGAAATGGAACTCTTTGTTAGAGAATGTAAAAAAGGCCAAGTTGGTAAATTTGAATTGTTTACATCTGTTTTTATGGGCTTTAAAAGATTAATGAAAGTGCCTAATTTAGGATTGTATGCATCTTATATATGAGTTTTTACTTAAATTATGGTATGGAGCTTCGAGATATTTGTAAACTTTTAAATTATAGACACATTTTCATAAAACAGTCGATTGTGGTATATGCAAATACATGTGGATCTTTTTTGTGCATAAGTATAAATTCCGCCGAAAAAAATTCCAAAGAAAGATAATAAATTGATCTTTTTAAAGCATTAGTTCGCATCTCTGCCCCCGGCGACCGTTTTTGATGAAAAATTCCCCAAAATGGGCAATAATGACATCGAAAAGAGAACGTCAAGTACACCTTTTTTTATGTTTAGGCGTGTTTGAGTTGACTATTCTGTCTTGAAAAAATATAAAAGAAAAATATTTGATACATCATCTCGCTTCAGATTCTATTATTTTTATATATTTAGGCTCTAGGTTGATATATTAACATTAAAAATTTACAGTACTAAAAAATGAAATATATGGGTCAAGTGAAATACCTTTCTAATGAGTCATAACAACAGAGAAAATGTGTTCGAATAACAATGTTTTACTAAAAGTGCTTGACGACAGACTTTTCAAGTGGATTTTAAAAATGCATAACTTCGAAAAAACTTCATTTTTTTGGTGTGTTGTCTAGGGTAACTAGTTTTCAACATCTGAAATTTTTTTGTCTGCCTTTCAACGAAATATAATTTGATTTTTTTTAAATATTTTTGAACTTTCGAAAATTCCCCCTGACAACCGATCAGATAATAGTTTATAGTTGACCAAATGCATAAAAGTACATTAAATGATGCTCAATAGCTAGTAGATACATTTGTCTTTTAAAATACAACTGGCATATAAGGATCGTAGTGATGCTATGTGGATACATTTATGGGTTTTCAAGAGCGAAATTGACAGCGCGTCATCACTGCAATGGCTTCCATTTTTAAGATTATGGTGGCGTAATGGGGAGATAATTTTGACGAACCAGAATCCTGACTGAACATACAGATTGAAATTCTATTTTGATAACGGCCCTATGTGAAATAAATTCAAGGAAAATTGGCCCTGACCCTGTATTTCTATTTTGACTGAATATGTCTTAGAATCATGCCATTAGCCCGTAAATATATATTTATTGTACAAAGTTAACGCCAGTAAATCAACTAGATCAAACTTTTTAAATGGTAAATCATTTGTAAATTTATGTTCATTTTGCAGTTATACCCAAAGAGATATACAGCTAATTTTCTTTATTCATACATAAATAGATATTTTATAATTGTAGATCTATAATGAAAAGACAATATGAATTTGCAAATATTGTTAAACTTTTGAAATGTAGTAACTGTTCTGGGTTCAATATTATACATTTTAATCATAATTGTTACTGAAGTAAACAAAGAGGCTAAATGTACCAAAGGAACAATGAAAATCATAAATTGATGAAACGCCGACAACACCACAACTAAAAGCGAAAAACGACAATACGACAAACAATCGCCAATAACACATTAGTAATTACATAGAAAAACTAGACTGAGACAAACGAACCCCCCCCCCCCCCCCAAAAAAAAAAAAAAAACAAAACAAAACCGGAAGTCTAGACAGATTCTGTTCCACATGTGGCACGTTGATCATGGCAAGTACATTTTCGGTGATGAGTCCCATTCAGTGATGTCACAATCGAGGAAAAGAGAACTGGATTGTGGCTACGATATTATGAACATATCCATGGTCATCTGTAACAAAGAAATTCTATAACGGTTAACCAAATCACGATGGGGTCCGTAAAATTTTGAAAAGAGAACTATACCACTAGGAACCCTTGAATCAATAGCTTCCTTATTACCAGCAACCATATGTAAAGAGATTCATGATATCTTCTAAATGTGTTTCCCATCAACTGGAATACAGGGACATAGTTGTAAAAGACTACCGGGGACTGCTTGGATTACAGCGAACGACCTGATCTTTCAATATTTATAGAATTGGGGTTTCAGTTAGACTATATAGCTAGGCATATATATCAATAATGTAATATGTTTATATGTTAATACATTTACTATGAATACGAATTTTCGAATTTTATTTGTCTTGAATATGCACAGATGGCTGAAATTGCCAGTTTGATATATAACATATGTTGTAAAAGACTACCACGGACCGCTGAAATGACAATGAGTCATTCCTAATCTTTCAATGTCTATAAATTGTTGGTTACTGTAAGGCTAAGCATATTTACTAATACTCTTTTTTTTTTAATTTCATTTTTAAATATGATCGGGGGACATAAAGTGTTCCTTTACTATACAATAAAATTTAAAAAAAACAACAGAAAACACAGGACGCGTTTGATAAACTTATATGATCTACCCATCATCTGAAAATTAAGCACAGGAGAAGTTAATATATGTAAATACAGATACTGTTAAGAGAAATTTGTCAAAACTCTTTGTCTTCAATATGCTCGGAGATCTCAAAAGGCCAGTTTGATATTCAAAATAAGATTGCCATGGACCGCTTAGAAGACAGTGCGACCTTCCTGATTTTTCAATGTCAATAATATTCGGGTTTCTGTTAGGCTAGGCATAGATATCAATACTAACAACAGTTAATATGTTAATACGTTTACTATTATCTTTCAGAGTAAATCACCAGTGTTCACAGTAAATATCCACCATCAAAGGTCGTTTTTCGTATTTTGCACTGACATTGTCAATACAAAAATAAGGAGATGTGGTATGAATTCCAATGAGACAACTATCCACCAAAATTCAAATGAAGTGGTGGATGTTACAGAAGGGGGCAAATATGATAACCTAAATTTAAATTTAAAGAAATATAGAAAAAAATGTTTTAATAAAAACTATTAGTAGACAGCTCTCTCACAAGCAAAAAATCCATAACTAAAATATAAGGGCATACACTACAAGCACGAGTGTACATTCTACAGCATCCACACAGCACGACTAGAAATGCTTTTTTTGTTACCTAACCTGTCCTGTCTTGTCATTTATCATATAAAGAAACAACTATTCCAACTAAATGTAACGGCAATATTTGAAATGAAAGTACCATAAATTGAACATAGGAAAATGAATTGGACAATTTGATTTTCATTTTGGTATATCAAATGCAATTTTAACTTGGTTAAACTGTAAAAACAAATTACGATATGAAAAGGTTATAAAGCTTTGTAAAGACACCTTGCTGACCTTTTCAGGGTATGCCAGATATTTTGCATACTACAATGAGTTTATAATTTAACAAAAATATCAATCCCAACACGAAACATGCTTGTGACTACTAGTCGATCAGTTTTTCCTCTAAAAAACTGTATTCCGCTGCATAGCTGAGAAACAGAAAAAATCAGTTTAAAATATCTTAATATTGCAAGTCCAAACGTATCATCTGAAAAAGGTAGGGCAAACTTCTCCTATATGGGTATCCCTCGCATCAAAAAAGCCTTAAAAGTTGTCAAATTCTACTGGAATTTGAATATTTAAGTCTATATCATATACTTGAAACATTTTTCACAGTTTGTAAAATGTATAATTTTGTAAGAATCTCAAAGTACTGTGAGAAAAAAAGAAACTGCTGAAGGCATCCAAACAACTAAAAAACAGGCCTGATCTACAAGGTATTTCAATTAATCAAGACCTCACCGTAGCCAGAAGTGGTCTAGCTTACGAAGCACGGCAGTTAGTGAGAAGGAAGAAAATCAAGTCAACTTTTGTGGTAGATGGTAAAATATATGTATATGACTTATATATCAGAAACTAGACACGTTATCCGGAATGAAATTGAATTCTCCAAGATGTTGAGTGTATGCAATATCGACACAGACATCTCTGATGATGAATCTACACCTGAAAAACAACCTGTAACAGATGAAGTAGTGATTGAAAATGGGAGCTTAATCTATCTCGACCATTTTGTTTCAAGCAAACCGCTGACTACAAAAACTAAGATATTACTTGTCACAAATCTCAGTCTGAAATAGTAATTTAAAACTGTTCTGAGTAAAAGAATATTATTTTTTATTTTTTAAATACCTGTAACTGTAATATGGGTCTGTTTGAATGTCTTTACTTGATTTATTGTCAAGAACTCGTTCTCTTTCTACATTTTATTATTTCAATTTCAACATGTTAATAAAAGTTGTCTCCTTAGACAACAGATACTATAATGCAGCATTCTGAAAGTATTATGTACTGCTAAAACGTTTGAAAAGATATTTTTATAAAGTTAATATCATGCTACTTTCAGATGAAAAAAATAAACAGAATAGGCCAACATTTTTTTCTGTATTCCTTGACATTGTTATTTTAATTCGAAGCATATCAATAACATAAACTATATTTTCTTTTTCTTTTAATTCCTTGGTTTTTTTTGTTGTTTTTTTTATTTTTTAAATTTATTACAGATACATTTGCATTTAATACTTTGTCCATACTGATTCAAAAAGAAAACTGTTTTTTTTTTGTTGTCCACATAAACTGAAAACATAAGGAACGATCCTACACTGATTTTAATTTATAATTAAAGTCACACTGGAAGGCCTTAACCAACAACTAAACAATTTGTGTATATATGTTTATCTTGTTCTTTTTATTTTATTTTGTTTTATATGCCTGTTCTGTGGTTTGCCATGTTTTATGTCTTTCGGAACTTGTTTATTATATTGTTGAAGCACCACCCTTATACTTTGTATCTTGTTTTTTTTTTTTTTTTTTTTTGTAACTTTATATGTCTACTGATAATAAGGGTGGGGTTAAATTATACGAGGTCAACTCGACTTCATCGTAAAATATGTATTGACATGAATACTGTTGTTCTTGTATTACTTATGCTTCGATATAGTTATTTAGGGATCACAATTGCTCTATTATATACTGTAATATTTGAATTAGATCAACTTCCCATAATACCATTTTCAAGTACACGTTTAACTTCCACTGTGTTTAAAGACGTATCAAGATACCATATTGTGAAAACTGAGCTTATTTGTTATTTAATATTTCTTGTAGTTTTTATAATCTTGCTTTCTGGTGATATTGAAACAAATCCTGGGCCATCAATTACAAATGATGCTAGCCTAAATGATTCAGTTTCAAATTCATCTTTGCGATTTGATTACATTAACTTGCATTAATATTCAAAGTATAAAATCAAAACTTGATATTGTGGAGGCAGAGCTTGGGGATAGAGATATAATTATGTTAACAGAATCTTGGTTAAAGCCGAACATATCCGACAAATCAACATTCGCACTAAAGGAGATTTTTCAGTGTCTTTTAACACAAATTATAATGCATAACTGTTGTATGTCTGTGCTTGTTATGACTTTATTACGATGTTCTCTGTTTTCTGTTATTATTATCATTATATGTATTATGTTATTTTGCTATGATAACATTATGTTTACTTCTGAAATAATATATACATCCATCCATTTAATACTAGAACTTCCTTTAATGACGAATTCTAACATGTCATCTATAAACATGGTTGTAGAGAACTATTGTAATGACATTATCATGTGTAGTAGCAGCATACGCAGTATTTATATTTTGATTATAGTTATAACACTAAAGAAAATCAGAAAACAAAAAATAAAATTGAAAGTTTATTTTATTCAAGTTTATGACTCAGACACAAAACAGATGAAAATACAAAGTATGTGAAAACGCAATGAACTACAAGTACATGCACCCGTTATTCCTTTATAATAGATATAAGAAGATGTGGTATGAGTGCCAATGAGACAACTCTGCATCCAAGTCAAAATTTATAAAAGTAAACCATTATAGGTCAAAGTACGGTCTTCAACACGGTGCCTTGGCTCACACCGAACAGTAAGCTATAAAGGGCCCCAAAATTATTAGTGTAAAACCATTCAAAGGGGAAAACCAACGGTCTAATTTATATAAAAAACGAGAAACGAGAAACACTTATGAACCACATCAACAAACGACAACTACTGAACATCAGATTCCTGACTTAAGACAGGTGCAAACAAATGCAGCGGGTTTAAACGTTTTAATGGTACCAAACCTTCACCCTTTTTCTGAAACAATAGTGTTACATCACAACATAGAAAGACACACTATAAAATATCAACTGAAATAGCTTAACTCAATCAAAGGACATATTAACACCAGTGAACATACACTGAACAAATAAATTTGACCTATGATACAATGTAAATACAAAATAAATAAACTAAGGGAAGAATAATAAAAGTAACATGTTATATCGGTATGAAATGTTAAACAATTTAAGAAAAATAATATGCTCGAACAACAATATCAGCCATTTGCAAAAACTTTAAACACCGATAAATGAAAACAATTGTGTTGTTAGGTATACGTGTACAGTTCCAATAGAGAAAGGAAATATTTTTACAAAATAAATAATTTTGATGTTCATAGTACGAAGTGAAAATTTATAGTAGTACCAAACACTTATAAAAGCTGGTATATAGACCAGATATAACCCTGAATAACATTAAATAACAAAAAATGCATTACAATTAGTATCAACAGGTCAAATAAACAAGAAAGTACGATTTGAGCGTACTCGCAGTTAATGACAGCTAGTTAAAATGTCTTTGTATGCTGGCGGATTTATTTGGGTATAGATGTTGAATCGTCTGAATTGGCGAGCCTTTCCTCGTCAACTACTTTGTGTGTCCCTGGATTATAGAATCAATGGCAGCTGTGTTTCCAATCATACTATCTTCGTATCCTGGCCGATTAACAGTGGGAGTATATGTTGTTTCTTCTGGTAAATTAGTTTCAGTGTCATTATCTAAGGTAGAATTGTCAAGCCTTTCCTCATCATTTCGACACCCATCCTGTGTCTTTGGATATGCAATAAGAGCAGCTGAATTCCCATTGTCATTGTGCAAACCTGATGTTAAAATGTTCATTGTTACTATTTTAATTCCCATTGTCATGGTTATGTTAAAATGTCAATTGTTACTATTTTGACTACTCTGTACTATCTTATACCAATATTCCGTATGTTTGTTTTGTGTAGTATTTTGTTTTTCAGATAATTCTCTTCGAAATTTTATTCGGCTTTGTTTGAATAATGGACTTGTTTTTCCTTTTATTTTCCTTTTTCACTTTTTTATTTCCCAATGTATTGTTCTTTTCCCGATTCTGTTCGAATTTGTTTTTGGCCTTGTTTGAATAATGGTCTTGTTTCATCATAATTTTACTTTATTCACTTTTTTAATTTCCCGATGTATTGTTCATCTTTCGATTTGTAGCAGAATTCACGTAAGAAACGAATAAAGTATTTGGTTTTTAAAAATGATACTAAATATACAAATGTTATCTGTTATAAAAGTATTCGTTAAAATAGAAAAACTTAATATTACACATACATCTATTTTAAAATCTCCAATAGACATTGAAAGATCGATAGTTTTACTGATTGTAATCGGTAATCGTTTTTCGCGATATAATGACATTAACGTTATCAACTTTACTGCACCAGATGCGCATTTCGCCAATAAATATCACTTGAATGTAGTTCAAGGCCATTTTTTTGTAAAACAAAATCTTGTACAAATTTTTACTTGGTGTTTATACCAAAAAGGATCTTAAAGTATGGCTTAATCTGAAACTCTTACCGATAATACGGTACTGTGATTGTTCGTTGGTTGGTTGTAAGGTCCTTGATTGGTGGATACGTCTGATATATTCTAGTTTCTTAGTACTATCGCCCCTCACGTAGTATCGACAGCAAAAATAGCAAGCTGAGACGATAGACAGAAAAATTGGGACGATAAATACCAAAGGCTCTGCAATTACTCTAAAAAGAATTAAATTTATTTACAAAAAACTTGATATTAAAACCTAAATTGTTTTTCTGAAAACTTCAAATCATAGTTACTCATATTATTAACCTTTCTTGTTATGTCCAATTTGGCGTGACTCGGTATTAATACATCCCGCCATTGTGTTATTGTGCTATGGTCATTTTTGTGTAGTCTTGTCTTTCATTTTTGCCCATGTACTTTGTCTATAGAGTGTCTTGTTTTTCTCTGTTGTTTTATAGTGATTAAGATTATAACATAATGTTGACCGCTGTGGTCCGTATATATTTGCATCCATTCGTTTTTCGTTTTGAGATATAAAAAAAAACGGACAACGAAAGTGTTTTCATTTTTCGTTTTTGATTTCATAAAAAAAAAAACGAAAAAAGGAAAGTGTTTTCGGTTTTCATTTTTTGATTTCTCAAAAACGAAAACATAAAAACAAATGCAGAATATCTTATAAATTATCAGGAAGCACTCTTAAAGAAGATATGAATACCGATGTTCTAGCACATTATTGGAATTCCCGTCTTACTTAGTTTATATCAAAATATAAAATATGTGATATGATTGCTATGACTTTTTTATTATCAAATCGCAAATCACAAAACAAAAGGTTGTGAGAATAATTGAGTTTGGTCCGTTTCTTATTATGTCGCCTCAATAATTGGCGACGTATTTTGTTGGTTTCGACTTTGCTTGGTGGCAATAAAGAAATTATGCTGGACTATTTTTTTTCAAACAGTAAAGCATCGAAAAATAATTTTTGGCATGATGTTGGGTCAACCACAGGAATAGCCAAAAGCGCTCAAAATCTTCAATTGGTCTGAAAATTGAAGATTGCAAACGGGTCGAGCAAATTTCTCCAGTACTTATTTCACACACTAGGTCTAAAACTGGTTTTTCATATCTTTATTCTAGTTGAAATTTAATATTAAAGAGTTCATATCATATAATTAAAATATGTTTTTAATAATATTACGTATAAAATTCCATAAGTTTAAAATGCTATTCAGCGTTATATATTGCTGTTAAAGACAGTCATATTGATACACATTTGCAAATTGTATATAGTTTTGTCAAATTTTGCATTGAAGGATATCGATGACAAAAATTAATAACTTAGTGCCCTAAGGACAATATATAGCGTTACTTTCAACGCAATTTTGGTTTTGGGTACCGATGAACTTCTAAAACATTTCAGAAATAAATACTACAATTAAAAAATTTGCAAAAATCGCTGTTTTCCGATATTCTTAGGCTTTTATAGTTGATATTTTTAGAATTAAGCGATTATATTGAAAAAAAGGTGTAGACTTTGGTCTGTGGTACTAAGTAAAGATTGATTGACCGTTTGAAAATGCCCCTGGAGTGAAATATATTAAGGGTAATCGGCCCTACCCCATTTATATGTTTTAGACTTTTACATCGGCGGACGATGCTAACCAAAATGAGTTAATTTGTATCCAAAAGACAATACATATAATATATTTACTATATATGAAGGACTCTGAACCCCGATGGTACTCCGAACCGCGATGGTCACGTTGAAGTGCGATGATTTGACGCTGAAGTCCATTTTTGATCACGCTGAAGTGCGATGGTGGCATTGTGACGCTATATGGTTGATAACTACGCCGAAGTTGGTTGGTGGTACCGCTAAAGTGCGATGGTTTACATAAACTATGTTTCAAAGTTTTTCATGTTCACATGTCAATATAGACGCCAGTTTGTTTGTTAGAAGAATAGTTTCAGATTTTTTAATAAATCATCGAGAGCAAATGAGATAGAACGATTTCTCATCTAGTATGAAACTAAGGACAAACATAATATGAAATATTATTTTTTTTTATTTCAAATTGTTGCAAAAACCGTTTAAAAGGATGTATATTAAAGGAATGGAAGGTATACTTGAAACTATAATATTAGCAATAGCAAGGTACTAACAGATGATATCCAAACAGTATACGATTATCACATAATTTTAAATTGACTTTTTAGTCTTAGAAAACATGATTTTTTTATCAGTTGCTATTGGCCTTTAACTATCTGTCAGTAACTGATAGTACTCTCAAATCTGTATCTTTTTTGTTGTGAGGGATGTATAGGTATCCTGCCACGTTCGGTCTGTGTTTTTGTTAGATGTTTTTCTGCTTTGTATCGATCTGATGAGTTAAGCCTTTTTCAACTGATTTTAATACTTTATTCTTATGATGTACTGTTACACCACTGTCCCAGGTTACGGGGAGGGTTGACGCCATCAAAGATGTTTGACCACATTCTGTATGTGCCTGTCAAGAGCCTGAAGTTCAGTGGTTGTCGTTGGTTCATATCTGTCACAATTGGTTTTCGTAAATTGTTTGGCCGTTAATTTTCTCAATTAAATTGCTTTCTATTTTCCATGTCCTATATAGCCGACTATACGGTATGGGTTTTTCTCATTGTTGAAGGCTGTACGATGGCCTATAATTGCTTATATCCACTTCATTTGATCTTTGGTGGATAGTTGTCTCATTGGCAATCATATCACATCTCCTTATTTTTATATTATTGCATATGATAATTCTTTTACTGATTCTTTTCTTGCAACCATACATAAAGATTTCATCGTTACCTAAATGTCATATTTGTTTGATGGACACTAATGAATGCACATTTATATGCTAACCAGATAGTAGGTTTATAACCAGGAACCACACGTCAGCGAAAGGACCATCACAATTCGGCGTAGACCACAGCACTTTAGCGTGACCATCGCACTATATCGTCCCTATCGAACCTCTGTGTCCTACATATAATTATGTATTATTTTACAGAATTTTGATTTTGGATAACTATGCCTTTTAGCTCACCTGACCCAGATGGCCAAGTGAGCTTTTCTCGTCTCTTTGCATCCGTCGTCGTCTTTTTTACTTTTTCAAAAATAATCTCAGCTGACCTGAACGAAGGGTCAAAATCTAACCAAACTTGGACAAAAGCAATATTGGAGTATTTAGTTTAAAAAATGTGTTCGATGACGCCGCTTGTCAACCAATATGGCCGACATGGTTAAAAATAGAACATATGGATAAAATGCAAGTTTTTTTTATTATCTTAAAAACCGCTATGAATAGTGAAAATATGACGTGGGCAAAAATGTTAAAATTATTGGAGTTCTTGCTCTTTAATGACAATTTTTACTTATTGTAAGCTTGTCTGCTTATCATCTTGGAAACCTTGTCTTATAAAAGATAGATAGACAAATCAATAGCAAAAACTATCAGCAAGACATGATCTACTATAAGTTAAATTTTGTCGAAATCGTTAGTAAAACCTTGATTGAGTGGTTACCCTTTAATGACGAATTTTTACCGTTTTCTATGTTTTGGGCAAAAATTTAAGAAGATTTAAAGAAACTGTAAAAAAAGACAATACAAGATCAACACGAAAGAGATTTTTGTTATGAATTCTATTCTGGTCTACAATGTTGAAGATGATCCATTTTTGAAGATGTGCTAAGAGCTAAGTGAACGACACAGGCTCTTAGAGCCTCTAGTTTATTTATTTTTACGATAACTTCTCAAAAGTTGCCAAAATCTTTCAAAATATTTTGACTGTTCAGAAGTGACACATTATATAGTCAGGACCTAGAGAATATACATTGGGCTGTAAAACATGTACTAGGAATTTACATAACGTTTGACAGACTTATACACAATGACCCTGGTGTGAAATGAAATCAGGGGGAATTGGCAATAAGGCTACCTCTTTATACTCATTTACAATTAATTAATGCGTTCTTGTATTTACGACAACAGTAGATACGTGCTAAGACAGCATATTGATTATGAGCATTAGCTAACGCAACTTCATTATGACATGAAAGCTGTATGACGTTGAGTCCAGCTCGGCAATAAGAACGTCCCATTTCGCGTATTTCACGGACTCCAATATGATGTATGCGTCAAAATACGTTTTGTCAAGAAAAATGAGATACAGCATTTTTTTTTTAATTTCCAAATGGACATTTAAATTCATAAGACTATAATCTTTTACATTTATTCTGTTTTGAGAAATACTTTATAGTTTCCAACGGAAAATTATTTCTTTCAGTTCAAGCTATCTTCTGCAGACTAGAACAAAATGCAAATCAAAATCCAGGTAGGTTTTGAATTTTCTGAAACATAGATTACTTTTTGCACATTGAGACTTGGATGGAGAATTGTATCATTGGCACTCATACCACATCTTCTTATTTCTATTCATAGAACTTTTATTTATCTAGGTCCTGCCATGCCTTAAAACTTTCCTTGATGCATTAGTTTGTCTGTACTGATAGTAGATTTTTCGGTGTAAACACGGCCATGAACCTTAAATACTATCGGTCTGAGAAGCGCTGTGTATTATACTTTAACGGCTGGGATAGTTGTCTTATCGGTTTAGTAGTAATCTCCCTTGTGAATGTGATATAGTTATGACATATATATATATACTGTACTATCTTTATAGTATATTTAATTGCATAATTTGAAATTGTAATCCATTTAATATTTAGATATTAAAATTTTATTTATTATTATAGATAAAAACAAGAAAATTTGAAAGTCTTTGTTTCATTAATGACCTTATTTCAATTCATAAGTCAGGCGGTCTATTTTGTCTTCTTTACAATGATTCCAATTGGTGATACACCGTTATGTAAAACGAACTACGTCGACATTATTTGCTATGAATCAAGAAATGAAATAATTGTTGATCATTAAACAAGGAATGAAATCATTGGGGGTGATTAAACAAGAACTATTGAGAATCAAATACAGCCATTGAATCCAAATGTCGTTTATCGTTTTTGTTTTATGATATCAAAGACGAAAAGCAAAAACACTTCTGTTTTTCGTTTTTTGTTTTAAGATATCAAAAATGAAAAACGAAAACTCTTTTGTTTTTCGTTTTGGTTTTTGAGAAATAAAAAATGAAAAATTTAGATTTTCCTTTTTTTGTTTTATGAAATCAAAAACGAAAAATGAAAACAGTTTCTTTTACCGTTATTTTGTTTTTGATATTGCAAAACTAAAAACGAATGAACGCAAATATACACAGAAGTACCCTATTTTTGATATTTTTACCCCTTATGTCTGTTTGTTTTGTTCACACATTGTTGTCAATATAATGAAATTATGCAACTGTCATACAAGTTAGAGGTTTAGCTAGCTATGAAACCAGGTTTAATCCACCATTTTCTACATAAGGAAAAGCCTGTACCAAGTCAGGAATATGACCGTTGTTTGATGTGTTAAAGCTTTGCTTTTGTCATTTGATCAGGCACTTTCCGTTTTCAATTTTCTTTGGAGTTCGGTATTATTGTTATTTTACTTTTAACTCAAATGCACAATGCATCAAAATTATTTTATAAGAGTATGTTTGTTATACACTCATATACAGACACATGCAGAAACAAAAACACAAATAAACAGACACACACGCGGGTGCTTCAAATTGAACGGAGTGTAGAAAAAAATGCAAATTAAATCACCACAAGTGTTATCTGCATTTAAGAATTTTGCTTCAATTGAACTAAATATTTCATACATTTCGTGCGTTTGAATCCATTTTCTAGATTAATAAACTAAAACCTCAACATTTTTAAAGTGAGGGATGCGTACATACACTGCAACTTAGAAGCTAAACGTCCAAAAAGGACCTAAATTGAATAGCCAAGTCCATGTAAGGTCAACTTTGAGTGATTCCGTTAGAAAGCCAGGGATGCGTAAATACGCTAATAAAGTCTTCAAATTGAGTTGAACTTAGCAATCATAAACGAAGTAATTTTTACACATTAATTTAATGTTCTAAATAAATACCCAAGAAGCCACTTATTACTTATTCTAATTGTTGACTCTTTCCTTACGCAATAGTTCCAGAACTTGTCTCCGTCTCATAAGAGTTGTCCATTGAATATCTGTATCCTGTTTCTCTTCTTGTATATCTAGACGATCCCCTCGACATGGGTGGCTTTCTGAAACCATGAATTTTCTATGGCAAATAATGTGTTTCGAAATTGATATCTTCCTCGGTATTTTAAACTAAAGCGGAGATGCAATAATGGAGTTTGTTGGCCTTAACATTTTAAAATGTAAGAAATAAAAGCAAAATATGATTAATCAATGAGAGTTTGTAGTCGAAGGATTTGATTGTTCCGTGTATCTAATTTAAACTACGGTATATGTTGTCATGAACCCAGAATAATGTTAACTTCAGATGTTTTCAAGTTTTATGAACGCTTTAGAATGAAATCAAATTTGACAAAAATAATATTTTAAGTTTCTTCTTGTGAGTGTTTTGTCTATTATTGATGTCATAATATCCGTTGCTAAGGGGAAAATGAGACTTTGGAAAGTCAAAATTCAATTTAACGAATATTCTATGTCAATGTTGCAATTTTGTAACACAATTTAGCGTTTGTATCGTATCGCTTAGTTATATCATCTTTCATTGAGTGTGATACAAGAAATATCTCCTTATGTGGGAAAAAGATAACAGGCCTAACCATAGTGAATACGTATACATGTAGTAGTGTATTCCGTTATTAAAATATTTACATTGTTGTGTTTGAACGAGACCGTTTGTTACGTATAGATTTGTCTCCATTCGACCCAAAACCTGTCCTCGACGTTGGTACTTTTGTAGTTGGACGCTTTGTAGTCAACCTGAATGAAGCAACGAAAAATAAATAAGATATATTAAATACGTCACATATATAAGACACTACACGAATGCTTCGACAAGCAGAAAAGATGATGGATGTGCGTGTACTCGGTTGTAACATACAGTCAATACTCCTATGTTCCTACATGTATGATTGAGTACATGACTTACTATACACTTATGTATTTGTAGTGTTCGTAATTATATTATTACTAATAAAAATTATCGACGTCATCCAGGAAAATAAAAGACACTCCCAATTGATCAGAATATCTCACTTGACCATGTGATCAGAATAGCTCACTTGATCCGTCGGGTCAGGCGAGCTAAGAAATAGTTATATTTTACATAGTGAAGTGTTCGATTATACAGATTGTGTTTTGAATTTGTCATAACTCTATTGTATCGTATACTTAATATCTTTTCAATATGTTGCGGAACAAAAATACAGCACAAGAAAATCAAATAACGATCGAGCAAAAAATAATGAGAACAAAATGAAAAGTTCTTTCCACAAGGATGTGATAATATTACACGAACCTTTTATAATTGCCAAAATTCCGTAGGATGTTCCAATCGCCATTTGCGAAGTTTCCATCTATGGCTAAACACTTCCATTTGCCGTTGACGTAACAACACTCTTTTGGTATCATACAATTATAACATGATCTAGGCGAGATGTACTCACACATTTTCTGCCAGGTCTTCTGGGCTAAACATTATCAAAAGAACTGCTAAGTTTTGTTAAATGTCATGTACTTAATTATAGAATAAGTAAATAAGAGACAACAGTAGTATACTGCTGTTCAATATGTAATACGTTGACCATTTGGCCAAAAATATTTCCGATTGAATTTCTGTCGGTTTGCTTTTTCGTAACAAGAGACAGCATTTAAGAAATACATTGAAAAAAGTTACATAAACTGAAAGGAAAGAGAATCTTAAAAAGCTGTTCAATATTAAAAGTCTCTGAAACAAAGGTTAGTGATACGCATAATTTCGTTCCTTATAGCAAGTTTAAGATGATCTCTTTCATAGGCTTAGTTTGTGAAATCAGCAACATGTACATGTTGCAGGGTAAACTAGCGTTTTTGAGATGTAGAGTCTCTCCTTTCAATTGCAATAAGAGGACTACTTAAGTAAGCAGAACTTGGTTTCTTGGCGTTAGTGCAATTCATGATATCAACGGGTATGGATTTGTTATTTTTGTACGGTAGGAGATGTCTCTTACTACGAAATTATAATATAAAATATGGAATCATGGTAAATAAATTGTCTACAATTGATAACTGTGAAGTTATAAAACTTGCTTTGACGAAGGCATGTTTTCAGTTCATTATGTTTAGTGTTATAGTGATGTTTTCTTCAAACTGAATGATTTGAGTAATTTCAAACTATTGTATAAAATCAGACAGTTAGGCATTGTAAGCTATAAGACGAATTTGGTAGACAAAATCTGTTCTTATATTAGACATTTACAAAACAGTTGATTTCAATTAACAATGGGTATTCCCGTGTGCATATGACGGAGATAAAGTATCAAAGGTTGACATTGTATAATCGTATTTGGAATACCAAGTCAATATTTTACTACTACAAGTGTTCTATTTAGTCCAGTAGCCAAGAAAATCTCTTTTCATTCGAGTGTCTTTCTCAAAAATGAAAAAAAATATGGCCATACAAAAAAAAGATATTCTCGAAATAGCAACACTTCAATTTTTAGGATATCTGTAACAGTGACTAAAATCGTTTCAAATATATCAATGGGATTTTTTTATGATACAAATCCGGTACACTTCACAAATTATCCGATACTGATCACTCTATGAATGGAACATGTATAGGGACATTGGCTGCAATTTTTTGAACACAAACAAACAAAGAAAAGACAATCTTGTTAAAACAGGACCGAAAGGAAAACCAGAACGCATACTTATTGGAACCAAATCTATAGCGATGAAATTAAAAAGTAAAACTTTGGTGATTTCAACATTACCTGCTTTTCTACAGTTTTGCAGCTTTTTAAAGAAAAAATATTGACGTCAACTATTATTGAAAGGGATATACTTTGATTTGATCTACATATCTGAAACTTTGAAATCAGACCAAAAAAAAATAAAAAAAATCATAGAATGTTCGCAGTAACCGTTACTGAAAACCAGTTCATTGTATTCTGCGTATTGATATGAAATCATACCGTCATACACTCATATATCGATGGCTGTACTTCAGATTAGATTTCAAACAACAATGTCAAAAACAGAACAGGATGACATTATCTTGTGAAACACACAGACAAAAACATTCGTGCGGAAATTTAATACAGAACAACAAAGGGTACATTGTAGTCAATATAATTGAAATTTATGCGACTGTCATACAAGTAAGAGGTTTAGCTAGCTATAAAACCAGGTTTAATTCACTATTTTCTACATAAGGAAATGCCTGTAAAAAGTCAGGAATATGACAGTTGTTTTTCATTCGTTTGATGTGTTTGAGCTTTTGATTTTGCCATTTGATAAGGGACCTTCTGGTTTGAATTTTCCTTGGAGCTCGGTATTTTCGTTATTTTACTTTTTTCTAGATAGGCATATTAGTATTAATTGGGTTTGGAAAAGTTTGAAGATTCTTGTGTTCAAACAAAACTAGGTAAAAGAAAGAAAGATGGAAAATACTCAAAATTGAAAATAAATTAAGACAGGAAAAATATGTTAAGTTATGCATCGGTAAACAATGGAATACTGTTAAAGAAAATTTAAGTATATATAAACAGAACGAATCCATAACACAGGTGGACAAAAGCTCTGAAGTCATCAATTTTAGTGACGTTTTCTTGTAAAGATTCTTTTGCTTTACAAGGAAAATTTAACACCTTTCAAAAGATAATATATAATGCAACAAACCAATCTTTAAAAAAGTAAAGATTTTTACTTAAGATGCCTATATTAATACAATGAATTAGAATGAAATAACAACAAGCATGCATTTTATTGATATTAAAGAAATTTCTTGGTATTCCTTAACGGAAAGTTTTATACACACAGAAGAAGAAATATACTTAACAAAAAAATTATTTTCATTTACCTGTGTAGAATATGACGCAGGTTTCTTCAAAAGTGACGATTTTCTAAAAATTGTTTGACATTTCACAATGATATCATACTTTAACTTTGTTTAAACCTGTTTATTTACTTTTGACTTTAATTATTTATCCCTTGTAATGTTTTATTAACTGTGTATTTGCATTCAGATGTCACAGGTCAAATTTATTCGTTCATTGTGTGTTAATTTACGTTTTTTTGAGTGAGTTAAGCCTTCCAATTGATATTTTATAGTGTGTTTTTCTATGTTGTGATGTTATACTATTGTTTCAGAAAAGGGAGAAGGTTTGGTACCATTAAAACGTTTAATCCCGCTGCAAATGTTTGCACCTGTCCTAAGTCAGGAATCTGAAAACAGTAGTTGTCGTTTGTTTATGTAGTTCATACGTGTTTCTCGTTTCTCGTTTTTATATAGATTAGACCGTTGGTTTATCCGTTTGAATGGTTTTACACTAGTAATTTTTGCGGCCCTTTATAGCTTGCTGTTCGGTGGGAGCCAATGCTCCGTGTTGAATGCCGTACCTTGACCTATAACGGTTTACCTTTATAAACTGTAACTTGGATGGAGAGTTGTCTCATTGGCACTCATACAACATCTTCCTATATCTATTCATATATTTGTATGGTGGCATCAATATGACACACAAACATATTGCTTAGCTATTGTTTTATTGATTTCTACCTGATGTGTTCTTTTGATCAAAACAGTATTAAACAATTCGTTGTGGATTTTCAAAAAGAGCGGATTATTTTTCACTAATTATATTTTAAGTCTTTTTGTTTGTTCTTATGTGTGCTGTTACACAATGTTCCCAGTCTAAGTGGAGGGTTGAGCGTTTGCAAACATGCTTCCTTTTGGGGCCCTTTATAGCTTGCTGTTCGGTGTGAGCCAAGGCTCCGTGTTGAAGGCCGTAATTTGACCTATAATTGTTTACTATTTACACATTGTGACTTGGATGGATAGTTGTTTCATTGGCACTCATACCAGATCTTCTTATTTATATAAACCCCGCTACATTCTGTTTGTGCATTTCCAAAGTCATCGCGGCCTGTAACTTAGTGGGTGTTGTTGGTCGCTGTCCATCATATTTGCTTTTCGGTTATTGTTTTGTACATTCAGGCCGTTGGTTTCCTCGTATGAATTGTTTTACATTTTTTTTTTATTTCGGGGCCACTTCTAGCTTACTATAAGGTATGGATGTTGCTGATGTTTCATTTGGGTGAGCTAAAATTGCCAACATCTACGTCATTAAGTATCTGGTCCCATTGGTAATCCTACCAAATCGTCAAATATTTTTATGATAAAAATAATTAACAAACTGCAGACAGATCTTCAAGCTTATGTATCGATTTCATTTTCAGTTTTCCTGCATCTTGTTATAATTTTTGCACTGTAATATTTTCATTAAAATTGAGCTGAAATATATAACTCCAACTTGTCCTGAATAAAAAGGACGTGAAGCTTACAATCAATTAATGATATTTACGTAATATCTATATATCTTCTTAAACTTAAAACCAATAAACAGGAAAAAATATTAACTTATTTGAAAAAAAATGAAAACAACACTTCATAAATTAATCGTCAGAAGCGTTTTTCTGGATAAGCTTTCATCAAGAACGCTAAAAGTTGAATATTTGAAAGCCGAGGATGTATAAGAACCGAAACAGTTGAAGATCAATACGACAAAAAAGACCCAAATGATTATAGCCATTGCATCTAAGATCAACTTTGCCTGAGGGATGTAAAACATGAGTTTCTTAATGATTTATAAATTAGTAACAGATATTTTCAGATGGATATGCTATATGTCATGTCAGTATCAGAGTACTGACAACTGAGCTGTTGATGCCAACGAATTGTCTTCCGATATGCGTCATTACGAAAACGTACTTCACATACTGTAATTATGCGTAGAAATATGGTAACCGTTGGTGTTGAAATTTTGCCGTCCTCATACGAACATGTCCGACATAAAATAAAGTTATTACCGATATTAGCTAATCTCGACATGCACTATTCATCACTTAAATTTGTATTCACACACATGCAAATAGAGAAAAGAATTTTCAAAATCAGGGGCAATAGCTTTTTAACATTTTGCATCCATCCAGTAGCAGCTACTTCGTAAATTAAATGTAACTCCTTTTTACAAGTATAATGGTAAATATTTTCAACGGGCATTTTATGTTTGCTTTACAATGACCGAGCTTTCCATCTTGAAATCTTGTATCTGTCACATAAGTATTAGATTTTTTTACATCATATGTCATACTTGATACAAAAACCACGTCTATAAAAATCTAAATACCTGTCTACAAGTATTTAATACTAATCTTGCAAGGACACGTATCGCAAACAGTACTATAAATAGTTTGAGAACACATTGTAAAATGAAATATTATTAATATAAATGAAAATATAAAGATTAAATGGACGCTTTATAAGGAATTGATTCAACGATATTTTGAGCAAGGAGGCAAACGTTTTGAGCCATCGTTAATAGTATATAGGAATATAAATCAAGTAAAAACTGAATGTAGTTCTGTGCAAATAATTTTAGCTCGCACATTTTTGTAATGTTATCTCTTTTCAAACAATTAGGTTATTTCAATTGAATTTAGTGAACCACTACTGAATAATTCATTCAATTTTTTTTCTCTCTTTCCTGCATTCATTAAATCAAATACCTTGTTAAATATGCACGATACGAACAAATAACGTTTTCGAGTCCAAATTAGTAATGATAATGATTAACTATTATAGTAAAACTATTCCGTCTAGATGGACCATACGCCAATACCTGCTCTATCCCTCCTAATCGAAGGAATGGTCGCGTATGGGTACAGAATATGTTGTAATCAAATTCTTTACACAACGCCAAACAAAGCTTAGCATTTTCCTGAAAATTGCGTTATATTACCACTGCAATAAAAGGTCCATAAATAATTATTCGTGCTGCATATGGAAGCGTTATACATTACAAAAAACAATTATATGTTCGTCTCACTTACCAGATGATGGAAAAATCAAATTACAGATGTAAAGAAAAACAATTGCTGAAACTATATTTCTCTCCATTGCTTTCACAAGTCGTATTTTATTACTGTAACAGGAAGGTTCTTGTGAGGAATTCCATTTAATTGTATACTGCAACAGGAACAGTTTCTGTTATCATTATGTCCAAAAGAAAATTAAAAAAATTGTACACTCTCAACTTCATTCAGAATAAGAAGCTCATTAAGGGACGGAAAATAAATGCAAGTTGTGTGTAAACATGTTCATAGGTATTATTGTTGTAGCCTGTCATAGATGGAGTAAAGAAATAATACTTAATCAATGTCTGAAATATTAACTTTTTTGTATTTAGAACGGAACTGACAAAAAAGTAAGTGAACATCGACCCTCCCCAGATTTTAGGCCTCATACAAAAAATAGGTTTTGTCCTGACATTGAATATAAATTTCCTTTTTTTTGTGCTTGTGCAGTAAACCGGTATTTCGTGCGACTTATATTTAAATTATTCATGATATTATTTATTCATAGTTAAAACGGAAAACCCAAACCATGTTAAGATACAAAAAAAATATTGTGTTTATTTTATAGCTAGTAATTCGCGTGCCTTTTTCAAATCTTTTTAAAAGTATTCTTCTTCTGTCTTGGCTGTATTTTGTGTGTGTGCAAACAATGTATTGTATAAATCATATGTACCTTATACGTATCTGCTAATTAAATTATACGATGTGTGCGAGGTTAGTGGACGGTTCGTAATTCGTTTTTTTGATATTCAAAATTTATCAGTTTAAAATAATAAAAACTGGATATTTAAAAGAACTCTTTAAATGATGACTATGTTCAAAAAGTAGATATAAAGAAAAAAAAAAGATAGAAATTTTTCCGAATCCAGCAGAGAATCTTATCCCCTCACAGTGATTTTATTTTTATAGCTTACCAATCTTAAACGGTAGAAACGATTAAAATATTGTTTTATTACTTGACCACACCTGACTTAAAACAGTATGTAAACATCGTCCCTCCAAGTTATTAGTGTTCATACAAACATACAAAAATTCGGTATTTTTCTGATATGACCTGCAATTTCATTTTCATGGCGCTTGTGCAATAAACCGATATTTTGTAAGACTTTCAGTAAAATCATTCATGATAGTATGCAGTCAAAGTTACAACGGTAAACCCAGCCCATGTTAAGATAAAAACCAGTTTTTTATAGTGGTTCGCGTGTCATTTTCAAATCTTTTTGAAAAGTATTCTTCTTTTGGTTTTTGCCTTATTTTGTGTGTGAACATACAATGTATTGGATAAATTGTATGTACCTTATATGCACCTGTTATTTAAACTATACGATGTGTGTGTTAGCAAACAATTCGTTATTCGTCATTAGATATTCACAATTTATCAGTTAAATAAAATAAAAACTTGATATCTAAACTGATGACCATGTTCAAATAGTAGATAAAAAGAAAGAAAAGAAAACGATAGAAATTTTTTTCTGACTCCAGCAGATGATAGTATTACTCTCACATATATTCTATCTTTATAGCGTATCAATCTTAAACGATAGAAAAATATTAATTTATTACTTGGCCACTACTGAATATTTCAAATGAAAATACGGACAATTTATTCACGTGCGAAAAATATCTAGCTATGGAAAACCATAATGGACATTTTTAAAATTTGGGTGACAGAACTAAATTACCAACAGAAAAGGTCCGGATGGGTAGGATAGACCTCCCTAATCTTCAAATCATCATGAAATTTAGCACAGAGTCAGTTAATATGTAAATACGGATACGTATAAGAGGAATTTCAGGAAACGTTTTGTCTTCAATAGTGTAGAGGTCTCAAGGTGCCACTTTGATATTCAAAATATGCTGTAAAAGACTACAGGGGACTGCTTGGTTTACAGTGAACTTCCTGATTTTTCAATATTTATAGTATTGGGATTTCAGTTAGGCTATATAAAAAAATGAAAACAACACGTTATTAATTTCATGCGTCCGAAGTGCTTTTCTGGATTTACCTTCATCAGGAACTCTTAAAACCGAATATTTGAAAGTCGAGGATGTATAAGGACCGAAACAGATGAAAAGCTATATGACCAAAAAGTACCTTAAAATAGCCAAATCCATATAAGGTCAACTTTGCCAGAGGGAGTTGAAATCTTAGTTTCTATATAATTTAACAAAATTTATATACGGACAGTTTTAGAAAGGTTTGTTATAAATCATGCTATGCATAAATATTAATAATGTTATATGTTTATATGATAATACATTCACTATGAATAGGAATTTTTGATTTTTATTTGTCTTAAATATGTACGGAGGGCTAAAAGTGCCAGTTTGATATACAACATATATTGTAACAGACTTCCACGGACCGCTTAAATGACAGTGAGTTATTCCTGATCTTTCAATGTCTATAACATGTTGGTTACTGTAAAGCTAAGCATATTTACTTATACTAGCAAAAAAACATCTTTTTTTTTAATTTTCATTTTTAAATATGTTTGCGGGACATAAAGTGTCTCTTTACTATACAATAAAATGAATGAATATCAACAGAAAACACAGGATGCATTTGCTAGACTTATATGATCTACAAATCGTCTTGAAATTAAGCACAGGGAAAGTGTATATATGTAAATACAGATACTGTTAAGAAAAATTTGTGGAAACTCTTTTTCTTCAATATGCTCGGAGAGCTCAAAGGGCCAGTTTGATATTCAAAATGTATTGAAAAAGATTGCCACGGACCGCTTAGAAGACTGTGCGACCTTCCTGATTTTCCAATGTCAATAATATTTGGGTTTCAGTTAGGCTAGGCATAGATATAAATACTAACAGCAGTTACATTGTAATATGATAATACATTTACTGTTATCTTTCAGAGTAAATCACCAGTTTTCGCAGTAAATATCCTCCATCAAATGTCGTTTTTCATTTTTTGTCCTGACATTGTCAGTTCGTTTTTGAAATATTGAGTTTGAATATCTTTTTTGTATCTTTTGTCTCTCTCTCTCTGAGTGTACTGTGTGTTTCAGACCTTTTCTAGTTTATTTTCCCTCTATGATTAGTCAGAGTTATATTTTAGTTTTTTCGCCAACTTGTTCTGCTTTTATGTAAGGACATAACATTAATATCTTAAGCTACTGAAACATAATGTGTTTTAAATTTGTAAAGTGTATGGCAGCAATGTTTTTTGCAACTGCAAGAACGACAGTATGTTTAAATTTCTCACTTCGACTATCAAAGCTTGATGTCATATGAATCTTGTGAATCAAGAACATAGAATGCTTTTCTTGTCTTCTAAACTGTCCTTTTATCATGTAAAGAAACAACTATTCCAACTAAATGTACAGGTATTATTTAAAATAAAAATACCTTAAATAGAACTTAGGAAAATGATATGGACAATTTGATTTACATTTTAGTACATCAAATGCACTTTTTAACTTGGTCAACCTGTAAAACAAAATTACGATATCGAAAGGTTATAAAATAGCGGTAAAGTTATCCGGCTAACCAGCTTAAAGGCATGCATATATATGTTTGTAATCCAGTAATTGTCCTTATTCCAATTAATCAAATTATCACTTCTTCGATTGTTCTTCATAGTACGTTAGAGATAGATTGATTTGTTAACGTCCAGTGGCAAATATTACTCGCTTACTATCAAAAAGAGCTTGTTAACGTAATATGATAATGAATGTTGCTTTGTAAAGGCATCTTTTTTTGGCCTTTTAACGGTATGCCAGATATTGAGCGTACTACTTGTAGTTTATAAGTTCACAAAAATATCAATCCCAACACGAAACATGATTGGGACTCCGAGCCGACCAGTTTTTCCTCTAACAAACTGCATTCCGCTGGATAACTGAGGAACAGGAAAAATCAGTTTAAAATTTCTTAATATTGCAAGTCATAACTTATCAACTAAAAAAGTTTGGGCAAATTTCCCCAACATCACAAAAGTCTTAAAGTTGTCAAATTCTACTGGAATTTGAATATTTAAGTCTATATCGTATACTTGAAACATTTTTAACAGTTTGTAAAATGTTTAATTTTGTAAGAATCTCAAAGTACTGTCAATTTACGTACAGAATGAAAAACTTTTTTGATAAAAGCCCTATGTGAAATAAATTCAGCATTCCCACTAAAGGTGATTATTTAGAGTCTTTTAACGCACATTATAATGAATAACTGTTGTATGTCTGTGCTTGTCATGCCTTTATTACGTAGGTCTCTGTTTACTGTTATTATTATCACTATATGTATTAGGTTTTTTTGCTATGATAACATTATGTTTACTTCTAAAATTAGAGATTCGTCCATTCATTTGATTAAAGGTTGCATTTCTGTAAATATCGACAATGCAATTTTCCGTATGAACTCCTTTTACAGCTCAAACTGTACCAATTTCACTATGAATTTTTGAAAAAATTATATCCTAGAATGGAAAGTTCATATGCACTACTATTTTTTTCAAAGTTCAAAATAAAGGGCTGTGCTGCATATTTTAAACGTTTATAGGTGTAATACCACCAAATCATAGTACGTCACATCCGGTTGCATACGAAAATAGGTCGAAAAAAAATATTCCCTTGAATTTGACAGTTGTAGGTATTTGATCCTACATTTCATTGCAGTAAAACATTTCTGAGTCATAAACATATATCTTGGGTATTTCAAAGCACCATTATTTCTTTATTTGGGGTTTCAATAGAATATTTTGGAAACTTGAGGTTACATGGTTACTAAAGCTTGTACACAGGTTAAAAAAGGGGGAAAATTTGATTGGTTAACTTCCAGTGATGGTTATTTTCTTATATGCAATGAAATGTTATGTGAAATTTTTTCTATAGTACTAGACAGGATAAAACTTTACTCATGCTAAGTATTTCTTTATTTGAAACAAAGATAAATTCTGCACAATTTTTTGAAAAGTGCAAATTTAACAAAGACTAATAGGGGAAAATCAATGGTGGTATTACACCTAATATGGGAAGCTGTACATGCACCTTTGACCTTGTGAGTACTCTCATGTGTTAAAATTTCTTGCTATTTAAGTGAAATATTACAAATAATGAAATATTCTGAGTGGATTGAGTCTCCAAAATACATTTTATGAGAAAATTTCCTTGAAATAGGACTTTACCATGAATATTAGTTGACAGAACAAGCCATACTTAGAGTCTTGGGGACCTTTTTCTCCTTATTTCTTATATTCTGCTATACTAGAAAAATTTTTCCTAAGAAATACTTTAATAAATATATAGTTTTAAG